AAATATTGAACACCCAAAACTTACATTTTCTTCCCCTAAAGAAGAAGACGAACATTCCCGTCACTTTCAAAGGGGAGTACCCCACCCCTTTCACCAACCTCAGAGGGGCCAAGCCTTGCAGCAAGGTGGTGCCAAGGGCAACGAGCTGGAATTACACATTTCCTTTTAGCGATTGAAAACTTTAAAAACCTTTGAAAAATTAATAAATCGGGTAGAAGAGTTTTTTTTCACGGAGGTATGCTATCCTGTTGGTGGACCTGGAGAGTACTGGAGCCTCGTGGGCATTCCGACTGTGCGGTTTGATGCCTCTTACATAATGTAGTTGGAGAACCACTGACAGAATCGGGCTAATTTCTTTCCGTCTCGTTTCGCGCGTTGTGATCGCAGGGTTTGGAAAGCAAAAATATCGTTTTTCCTGGTATGGACTCAGAAGGCTATCTGGCGCAAGATATTTTAACGTGGCTGAACACAGTTTTGCGAGCGGTCAGCGGTAACTCGCGTGACGGCGCGTGTTTTAAATCAGACAGAAAACATGGCGACGAAAAAAGCAATGGTACACAGAAGACGTTTTTTCAAAATCTACTCATTAATATTTTGTGATATTTGGCGGAATTTTTGCTTTTATCGTATTTTAAATAATGCGAACTTTAAAATGGAAGTTGAACAGACGAATTTTGTGACACATTTAATAATTACAGTACAATTATATTATTGATTATCTAAAAACCCGTCTGTTAAAATTTGGTCAAATAAGTTTCAAATGGTAAGGATTAATTATAGTAAGCTGGGTGCAAGTTTATAGGAAAATCTAATGTGGGAATTTTAAGCAAACTGAGCGAAAGTGAAATTTAAAGGTTGTATTGAATCGTTCATTTTGCCATGGAAACTATGAAAACGTCACATTTTACCTGTCAATCAAAATCTTTCATCAGTACATTTTTCACTTGCCAAGTTTCACCTCGTGAGCTGCATCCTTTCTCTTGTCATGATTTGGCAAATGACATACGCTCACAAACTGCCAAAAGTGTGTTCAGCCACCTTAATTGAAAATGAACAGAAATATTTCTGGAGGGTTAAACATGATGACACAGTTGCTCTCATGCGAGCCCCCAAAATGGGCGGCTTCCTCACCTATAAGAGATATTCCACAGTTCTTTGTTCAAGTAAGTAGTTTTTATATAGCTTGATAAAGTTTTGCTTTGGCTTCCTTTATTGTTACCTTGCCCATCATCTTTTAAGTTTTGAATTTTTTTCCACAATCCTGCACCTTATTCCCTAGGTGATGAACTTGGGTTGATTCACTTAATTCCTAAGCCTAATGCGCTTACCAGCGGCCTCCCGGGTAGTCGCCCCTTGGAACTGCTGGGCATTTGCACATTTGTGACTTCCTCTCCTTGTCTCCCGGTTGTGTGAGTGTGTGTGTGTGTGGGGGGGGAGGGGGCTACAGTTGGTTCAGAGTCTTCAGATGAAGCCTCTAGTCATAACGTGCAGTTTTTCATGGGACTTGTTCACTTCCAGTGGTAGTAAACATTTATTTTTGATTTACTTGAAATGCCACCTCCAAGTCATTGCCCCTGGGACGCCTGGAAATTTGTGCATTTGTGACCTCCCCGTCTTGTCTCCTGGTTGGGTGGGGGACAGTTGGTTCAGAGTCTTCAGATGAAGCCTGAAGTCATAAAGTGCAGTTTTTCAAGGGAGTTGTTCACTTCCAATGGTAGTAAAAATTTCTTTTTGATTTACTTAAAATACCTCCTTTTGAAGGCTGGTACAGCTGTAAGGCAAAAAAAAGACCAATGTTTTTTGTCTCTCAGCCTCTCTTTTTTTATTACTAATTTTATAATTTATATAATATAAAATAATAGCCTACGATGAGTTGGTCGAGTAAGGTGATAGGAGTCATGATCTGCCTGTAGTCCAGAATCTGGACTTTTGTCTGATTGGCATTCCACCAGCCCATGATCTTGGTTTTGATTGACTCAAAACTATTTCTTGAGATCTTGTCAATGTCTTTTCATATTTGTCAAGAAATATAATATTAATCATTTAAGAGAAGTTACTGTACAATCGGTGACAAAATCAGTTGAGACACTTCGTCTTAAAGGGGCTTTTTGACATTTTACTGATGTCAAAAGGGGAAAATAACACCTTTCCTTCCCCATCCTCTCCTTGCAGTGTTGTGCTGCTGTTCGGGTCACCTATAGAAAACAACAAACACCCCAATGAATGGAGGGGAAAACTTTAAACACTACGTGACCTCAATGAATAGAAAAATAAGCCTGCGATACACTCAGGTTATGATGGTCAGCGTATACTCTAGTTTGACAGCTGTCAATGAACCTTCATTAGAATGGCGAATATTCGAATTAACAGACTACGAGTGTGAGTAAGACATATCCGTCCGGCATGTATTGGACAATGCCAGATCGTGTACCTGAGCGAACCTGAGCCCACGTTATTAGTTTTCTGATAGTGGTCTGCATACGTCCCATTTTGACAGCTGTCAATTGACCTTAATTTGGCTTGTCAATATAACTTTAAACGACTGTCAGGCAACTGACAGCCTTGCCTGGCGTAGTTTCGTTTTTATGTTGAATTGGTAATTGTGACATATTATATCAGCTTATATGTAGGGGCAAAACGACTGGTCTTTCATCTGAGCCCGCGAGATGGTCATGTGATAATTGTCAGCGGATGTCTCATTTTGACAGCTGTCAATCTAATCGTACTCATACGGATGGCTTACATAACTAAGAGGCTAGTCAAGTTGTGCATGATCTATTGTGACATTTGACATCGGCTTAGATGAAGTGTGTGTACGGGTGGGCGGGCGGGCGGCCGTAGGCTACGTCTTAACCAAATTTTCTCGGATGGATAGTTTACCAAATTTTCGTACCCATGGTGCTCCGCTGCGCGCGCGCTTCGCGCGCGAGAGCTTCGCTATAAAGGTTGTAAAACTGACTTTCTTTGTACCCTTTACTAAGAACGGTATATTTAAACTTACAAAATGTGGACTTTCTCCTGAAGGGTTTCTGTATTGTACGCAGTGTAACACAGATTATGGTTAAAACGTATAGTTGCAGCTGTAACAGGAACATGTATCTTTGGTGATGCAGCAACGTTTATAGTCTTTATAAATAAAGATTGCAGAGTTTTATTTGGAGATATTTTCATTGTGTCTTTCTTGGGTTCTGCCTTGGGATATTTGATAGCAATGTGCAGCCCGGGGTGGGCAAATTTGGCTGCATTTGACTGGAATGATTTGTCCGTGGGTAGGGAATTTGACGGCAAATTTTTGAAAAATGTCAAATCCCCACCCCATGCCCTGCCTCCCTCCCCGCCGGCTTTACATTGATAGGTGCATAATCGCCCGCGTGGTCCCTACCTATTGTTGTCTACTATTGATAATTGTTTCTATATGATCTATCACCTATCACTTTCTATTGCGCTTACATAAAGGGGAAAGTAAGACTTCGCTCTGTTTTTCTTTCTCCATTATATATAGCTTTTTGTTAATCGATCTAAACCCGAGCAGTGACCCACACGAAAGCCTAAGCTACTTTGGTCACTGTTCACCATTTATGTAAGTTGTTGTTCTTCTTTTTTTTCCTGTTCTTTTATTGTAGTGTAATAGAAACATCGTGCAATAGAGCAAAATTAAAACAATCTGATTCTTGAGGGAATCTCCTCTGCAAAAGCAAATTAAAGTGCACTTGTCAGAAAAATCAGTTCTGGTCCTCCCTTCGGGGGCGCCCAAGGACCGAAAGTTTCCAAGAACGTCAGAAGTACCTTTACATGCTTTTCTCTTTAGAAGCAATGCTTGGTTGAAGCTGCCCTAAAAACTACTTATCTGCTTGGAAGTCGTAAATGCGGTTTTGGTCTCCCCCGAAACTGTTAGCTATACATGTATCCTGCTTGGTCCCATCGGATTACATATATTCACGAATTTTTCGCTAATTACATAACACCCGCTTGGGCTTTGATTTCAATGATAAATTCACATGGCTTAACATTTGCAGTTCACAATATCACGTTTGATGTATCCCGGTATCTTAGCACATTAGGGCCATTTATACGAGGAAAAATAAGACGCGTCTTAAATAAGACGCGAACTGTACCATTTATACGAGCATGTCTTATCTAAGATGAGAACAGCTCGTATAAATGGTTCGCGTCTTATTTGTGTTCTTGACCTGTTTTCATCTGAATGTTGCCTTTAGCAACGGCAATCCAACGTAGCGCGCCAAAAATTAACGCATGCGTACTATGTGTTCGCGTCTTAGGCCCAGTTCAGACGCCGCTCCACTCATGTGCCGAACCTAACTGAGTTTGGTTCAACTTTGGAGCGACATTGGCGCGACATCTGATTCAGACGGCGCACCGTGTGTCGAACCTAATCTTTATTTCATGTAGGGAGAAAGAAAAAGGCCTGGGTCCGATATCATATCTTCGCATTTCATTCGGCACATGAGAAGAACGCCGTATAAATCACCTGCCGCTCCAATGTCGAATAATGCGACAGACCCTGTCGACCTTAATGTTTTTGCCGCACCAAATTAAAACTGCCGTACAAAACTGATTCAGACGCCCCTCTTTTGCCGTACTTAATACCTCAGTTAGGTTCGGCACATGAGTGGAGCGGCGTCTGAACCGGGCCTTATTTAAGATGCGAAGGTCATTTATACGAAGTTTTTCTCGTCTTAGCTAAGACACGTCTTATCTAACAACAAGTGTTAAGGGCTGTTCTAAAATAAGACGCGTCTTAGCTAAGCTGCGTCTTATTTTAGACGAAATGTTCCGTTTATACGGAAAGTTCACGTCTTATTTAAGATGCGTCCTATGTAAGACGCGTCTTATTTTTCCTCGTATAAATGGCCCTATTGTGACTTTCCACCAATTGCTGTCTAAATTTAACTCTGGTCATGCTACGTCGCGTTTAATTGTTAGCATCTCCGAACTCGAGATCTTTCTACGGTGATACGACCCATTCTTTTTAGACGTATGCAGTGGCGTCTGAGGGTCTAATAATAATTGGGATGAGAACCTCACCTTGGTCAATACACATAGATTCTTTCATTTAGTACATTTTCTTAGCTTCGTCGACAACAGGCATCAGGGCACAGGTATTTTTTGTTTAGAAATAATTGATTTCGCGTGACTGTACCGTCTGTCTAGACTGATTACCTCGTCTCTAACACTAACATTGTATATTGCCATGTTTGTTTCAGGAGAAACCTACGAAGGAACACGAACTCTGTGTTGGCCTTACCAGCGTTTTTCAGGATGAATTGATTTTTATTTAGAACTATCAACTAAACGACCCTGAAGCTGCCCAATATTCAGATAAGCGACGAAAATTCTTGGACGTGGAGAAGGTAAATTAAACGATAATTTCGATGTCTTAGCATATTTTTAGGTTCTGATCGTAGGATAGTATAGTTTCTCCTAAGGAAAGAGATTTAACAAAAAGGGTGTTAAAACCTGAGCAATCTCACAATTCTTCCTCTCAGTATATTGATCAGTTGTTGGCCTCTAAACAAATGCCGTTGGCGAGCGTCCTAGCATATGAATGCAATATTGTTTTTTGCTTTCCAGACAAGCGATCGATTCGTGTTTAGGAGAAGTTCGTTTCTTTGTCATCACTGGCCTCTTCTCCTGGTCTTTCTTGAGGCTACACGACTTTTAGAAGGAAATGTTTATTCTTTTGAAAAAAAAAAGTTCATATTGATGACAGTGTTAATGTTTAATTCTAGATTTACACCATATCTCTTCTTCACGGTTGTTAAATTAATGCAAATGGGAATGTTCCCGCATCGGTACCCAGACACGATTAAGTTGTATGTGGTTCCTAACCTGACTATGTTTCGTTGAGGATTAATAAAACTTAAGATGGTTGTCAGTTTGTTTCTTATTAAAGAGAGTCATGAGAAGAACTAAGCATCAGGGAAATGAAATCGGAGTTTAAAGGGAAAGTTACAATTTGCATATCAAAAGTGAAACAGGAAGTTTGGTTTGAAGTGCAATCCTTTCATGTCTCTTTATATTCCGAGAATTAGTTCAGATGATCCAAAAAGCTTGCTTCCTTTTTTCCGTCAGACGTCAGTTTTAGTTGTTGCGAACCGAATAATTGACGTTGTCGATCAAATTGCATTGGGACCGAAATTTTGTAAAGGGTGAAACTTAGCCGACGTCGCTTACTTGAGGACATTAAAACTGACTTTAATTTCGTTCGTTTTTTGCTCACTTCATTTTCAAAACACCATGCACAGTTACTTTTCTCCTTACGGGGTTTAGGTTTCCATATAAATTATACATTCCTCAGAATGTTGCGCATCTGCTTACTTGTTATCAATATTAAGCAATTACTCATTCTTTAGACTTGTACAAAGTCCTGCGCAGTCGCGCGTGTCAGTTTCCTCTCGTCGACCGCCCCAGAGTTTAAATGTTTCACCGTTTTTCTGATAGAATTAATAGAGGTTGACTTGGTCTGAAGTCTATGCTCTTTCCTAGCTACAATCCTGGACAAACGTCCATGGGATAGAGAGGGGATGGACATGTGTGATTCAAGAAAGCCCCACGTATGCAAATGTATCGCAGGCCGTTTGCCTATGATGCGGTAGCTTTCGATAGCTTGTTAACCAGTGTTAAGCTACCATGACAAGAGTGTAGAAATATTCCGTATTTTACCAACTTAATCTGCATCCGCGTCATTTTGTAATCAACATATTCAGCAGTTGTACTCTTCATTTCTTTAACCAAAATGAGCCATTAATTTGAAAACAATGGTTATTACTTCGGGGAAAAATTGGCATGGGCGATTTAGTGGCAAGAAACCTTTAACTTCACCAGAATATTTTTCAGGTTTCGCAGGGAGAACAAAGCCGTGATTTATTTTTCTTATGTTGGTACAAACAACTTTCATTTACACTCAGTGATTCCTTTTCAATTTTATTGTCCTAGGAGAGGACTGATCTTGAGTGACTGGTTAGACGGTCGAGCAGAAGGTGCAACAGTTCGCTAAGAAAAGGGCCCCGTAGAGATACTGTGGGGGTTAGGGGTAAGCGTTATAACAAAACAAATATTCTATTTAGAACTCACTGGCACTCCTGTGTAATTCACGTTGAGACTTAATAAACTGTCATTCTTATTTTTTTTAATCTGCACATATCGTTCTGTATAGTCACAATTCATACAAAGCCGTTGTTAAAAGATAATTTTAAAAGGTTATTTGTTATTTGAGAACAAATTCCAACTTAAGGCTTTAGTGAAAAATAGAGCATATAACATTAGTGAAAACTTGGTCTCTTTTTTTATTATAGGGTCTAAATAAAATCTTGCAGGTTTACTCTGATGGCTTCTGCTCCAACATTAGCTCCATCAACTAAGGAGACGACTAATTACGCAAGATTATGCCGCCTTTTAGTAGATGGAGGCACCAAGGCCTTAAGACACACTTTTGACAAACTCCACTCCCCAGCAAACCTGTTTAATGTTTTGAAAGCTGGTTCTGCGGAACATTCAACTCTGCAGTCCCTTAAAAGGAAGAGAATCATCAATGCCACACAATGGGGTAAGCTGTATCCCTCTCCGACTTCATCTGTAACATCAGAAGACTTTGACATCACTTTACTGATGGTGCTACTGAGGAACATCTGTGGTCTGACGGCTCCTAGCACAGGCTGGGACAGTCTGCCACCTGCTTCAGACACAAGTGTTGAGGCTAACATAGCCAGAGTAAAGTACTATAGGAACTCGGTCTCTGGGCATGCCAGCCAGGCGTCTGTGGACAATCCAACATTTAATTCCTTGTGGCAGGATATAAGTGCCGCACTGGTTGTACTGGGTGTAGACGCAGCTGCTATCACACAACTAAAAACTGAGACTATGGATCCAGATACAGAGAGGCATTACCGAGAGCTGTTAAAAGAATGGAAGAAAGACGAAGATAACATTAAGGACCAACTTGATAGAATGGAAGGTATTAACTAATAAAGGTTTTAAAGTGTTTTCTATTAATAGTACTAAATAGGTTTCTTTTCTTTCTGAGCTTAAATTTACTAAAAGATTATAATAAGGTGTTAGTGGGGCTGAAACGAAAGCTTAGAATTAGACAAAATAAACTTTTTCCTTACAAAAACACATTTAACAAACATAAACGGACATATCAACAACTACAAACAGGTTCAATTTTATTTTTTAAGGCTGTGGTTCTGTGACTGAGCGAGTTGCAGTGATGTGAACTTTACACAAAAAAGCACAAAAGTAGTTGTTTATTTAAACAAAATTTGCTTGCAACAAATAAAGTGGGCACGAATAGCAGGTGAGTTAGTAATTTAACAATTATTGGATCTGCATTCGTATGATCTGAAGGATTAGGCAAATCTAGGAGGATAACACCCTCCGAGATCTGCAGAATTCTTTAGATCATGCTCAGCCTCATTCAATAATTGCTGATTATCTCTGCTGACAAGTTGGACACTGATTTATGATGTTTACTGATATTTTTAGGTAAACTTAGAGAGCACATGAAAAGTGAAATGGGAAACATGAGCGAGAAGCTGGAGGCCATGAGAAATTCCGTTGCTGAGGATGGAGGTCAGTTTCCAAAAAATGAAGCTAAATTATTAATTCTTCAAGTCAGGCTAACTTTTAATAATGTTTTTTTTATAGCAGAAGAAATTTCAAATTTTATGACTTTTTAACTTTGCTGTGAGAAACAAACCATATCATTTTTTCTCTTCAGGTAAAATCAGAGAACAGATGAGAAGTGAAATGGAAAATATTAGCGGGAAGATAACTGAGGAAGGAGGTCAGTTCAGAATGTTAATTCCAACTTCCATATCTTGGAAACCCTTTCTTTTGATTACTATGTATAATACTTTGATATAAAATTCCATTCAATTAGCTTTCACTGAATAAATATGATTGCGTGTATGGAGAAGACTGCCACTGAGAAGCTTGATAATCTTTGAACTGCAACAAACTTTTAATGGGCGTCTGGAAAATCAGGAACCCGGAGACCGGAAAAGGAACAGGAATAGGAAAAAGAACCGGAACAGGAACGGGTACAGGACACAAAATAACAATCGAGAACCGACATGAGCCGGACAGAGAAGTCATTTATCTTGCTTGAACTTAATTCTCATAACTTTTAACTTAATTATACAATAAGAAAGAAAAATACTGCCCTAAAAGTAACATATTTATACGTAGAAATATTTATCGCTGCAACCAGTTGCAAAAAATTAATGTTGAGACTAACTTATGAAAAAACGACCTTTCTTGCGAAAAATCGCTCCTGGTCACAGGGTTGTGAGGTATAATACTGACCTCCCTCCTCCCTCCCATTAAAATTTGTTCCTCTAAGTTTTGAGTATGGTCTTCCATTGCTAGCAACTTTGATAATGGGTGGAGGGGGGATCACAAGCACAAGATCATGGACGGGCTGTTTGTGCCAAAATACGGTACAGTGTCTCAAGTACTTTTGCAACTGGTTGTGGCTTCAATAAGGAGATCTTACACGAGGCGATTTGCAACGACGAATTTTCGGGTAACAATGTTGTGACAATGTTGCGACAACTCAAAACATTTTCGGAACATTTTTATAACACTCAAAATCGTGGTTGTGAATCACCCCGTGCAGTATCACCTTTAGTCTGCGATCCTTTCCTTCCTTTATCTCTATACGTCACTTGCAGAAAGGGAGGGACAATACATGTATTTTAAGTGTTGGATTACGTGTAAACGAGACGCCTAGTGGCGCTGGGCTGCCAAAAAACTTCAAGTTTGTTTTATAGATATATTGTACGGTAATATAACATAAAGTTTACCAGAAGAGACAGCAGAAGCTTTAAGAAGGTAGTAATCCCCCGTCTCATTCCAAATAAGGGCACCAGCCCAACCTCTGGCCTCATTCAACTGACGGCATTGATGGTGGAAATTAAAACGTGTCACGTGTTAAAAGTAGAGAAAGGTTAGATTCACTTTGCAGTTAATACGTTTAAATCTTGCGACCCTGAAAATCTTAAAAATGTTGCATTTCACCGGAGTTTCCATCTCGTCCGCTCGTTATATTTCGTCCACAATGCAAATATAGCTAAAAAGGTTGAAATCATACCATGGATGAGTTTAAGATTCTCTCACCAGCCTGATTTGTCTCACCAGTACCTGTTCCCTATTATAATAGTATATCTCAAATCACATTTCCTTCTTTCAAAATCCAACGTACAATCGCGGGGGTAGCTTTATTAATTTACATGTGTGGTCGTTTAAAAAATTCGCGTAGGTAGAAAACGAACTGAAGACCAGCTCATAATCAATTGAAAGAAAAAAACCATCTTGAGCTGAAATGGAGGCGCCGTCGTCAGTATCTGAAGGCTAGAAGAGGGGTGGAGCCTCCCCGCGGTCGATTCTTTTGATATCAACTCTTGGTCATTATTGCTACTTGTTCTTATTGAGTTATTTACTAAAAACCTCCTCTGTTTTTGTAGGTATCTACACTTTTTGTCTTATCTCCTAGCAGAATATGATCGTTTAGTTCTTCTTATTTCTTCCTACCCTTAGCCGCACCTCTATTCCCTTTTCTATTCCGGTTCCTGTTCTGGTTCCGGTCGCCATTGCCGTTGTTGTTCTGAATTTCGGATACATGTCCATTTCCCGGTTGTTCGAGACATCCACTTTAAATTGTCCTCAATGCAAGTGTAATTCTATATTCTTCCTGACAGATAGAACAAGAAAAGACTTGAGGCAGATAAAAAGTGACATCAGTGAGACGCTGAAGACTTTGGTTTCTGCGACCAAAGAGGACGGTCAGTTTCTCCACACTGTAGCCCGCTGGAAATTAAGTATCCCTCTAAAATAACTGTTAAAACCAAGTATTGGTAACCAATCAGTGATCATTTGTCGTACAAGTGTCGCTCCCGGGCTCTCGCGTCCCAAAAAACAATTTTTTATCCAAAGAGGACCCAAAGTGCTTCAACTTATATTTATTTGCCTTTAATTAAAATTGTAATTCTCTCAGGTCGTGGGACGACGAATGACATATCTTGAACTAGAAACAAACACCCGAGACTGTTTATAGTCCGTTTTTTTCCCGTAAGATCGCGGCGTTGGCGCCAGCTATACCAGTAGCCTGCGTGGCAGGCGCTAAAGGGGGAAGCGGGAGAAGTAGAAAAGCGCGTTCCTCCCTTTTTCCCTTCCTCCTAATCACCTACCTCTTTCGATGCCTGATACGCAGGCTACCTACTAGAATGGTGTTTTTGAGCAAGTGCTTTTAATTCGCGGAAGTAGATTTATTTGCATCACGGTCCCTTGTGGGCCACCGTAGGTACTTGCCTTAGTTGAAAAAATAGATGGAGGTTTTAAGAACGCTATCAACCACTTGGTAAAAAAGAGGACTGTGATTTCTCAAACACTCTAACATAAAGTTCATAACCAGTAGTCCATTTCCCTTGTTCCTCGCAAATTCAATGGTCTGCTAAAAGGCTGCCGTTAAATCAAAAACATTGCCTTTACAATCTTTAATTTCCCTGTTGAAGCCCGCCCCCCTCCCCCAGCCATCTCCACTAGTTTTGTTTAGCAAGTCGTCTTTTCAAGGCATGTTTATAGGAGTAGTTCTACTCATTTTTTTTACGGACTTGGAAGGTATATCCACAACAAAGCTTGGTTCTCACTTATTCTCAACAGTTGGTTTGGTTGCCGAGTATATTGAAATCATTCGTCAGAAGTACAAACGTCATGAGGGATGGCTTGCGCCATTTCCTTGGTGCGAAGATTTTCAGTTTCATCTTAACGATATTTACACACGGCTTCTGGTGGTCAGGAGAGAAAAAAAAGCGAGAGCAACAGCGGAGCAAAGAATTGTTGAAACGACTGAAATCTTCAAACCACACGAAGAATGCAGACAACCTAGAAAAGTATTGATTGAAGGAATGCCAGGTATGGGGAAGACGACATACTGCAATAAGGTTGCTTACGACTGGGCTATAAGCATGAAAAACGAAGGAGATTGCTTTCCGGAATTTGAGATGGTGCTCTTGCTGAAATGCCGTGATGTCGAGATCGGGGCCGACCTTTGGGGTGCCATTGACGATCAGCTTTTGCCAGGTGAAATTCACCGAGAGGAAAGAGAGAAATTCTTCGAGTTCATTCGGCAAAATCAGTCGAAGGTTCTACTGATACTTGACGGATTGGACGAGTTACCTTCGAGCAAGCTGCCGGAGTTTACTGAGATTATACAAGGTAAAATGCTTCCTCTATGTCACCTTGTGGTTACAGCGCGACACGAGGCGGGGATACCTATGAGAAAGGTTTGTGACACTTTGCTAGAGATTGAAGGTTTCACTTATCAAGATAGCAAAAAATTTATTCACAAATATTTTGCCGGCAAGGAAGATTTGGCCGAAAAGCTCCTGGATAAAATACGGAATGAAGAAAGGCTTAAAGAGATGACGGCGAACCCATTAAACACTGCACTGCTTTGTCTTCTTTGTGAAGACTTTCAAGGTGTCTTACCTGAAATCAGAACTCAGTTGTACTTGGAAATAGTACAATGTGTTCTTATTAGATACAGGAAAAAGAAAGGTATACCAGTCGAAAATGAGGATCTGATTGAAATCTACAAAGATGAGTTGAAACTCCTTGGCTTAATAGCTTTAAACGGCCTGTATGAAGACAACATGTACTTTGAGGACAAAAAGCTTGCCGACTTACCTGGATTTGGGTTTCTATCAGCTCAACCTGGAAGCAGCAAACGAAGACCGTGTATGTATTACGGTTTTACGCATAAGAGTTTTCAAGAATTCTTCGCGGCACATTATCTTTGTTGCCAACTTGTTAGCAAAGAAACCAGTCCTGAAATATTGGTGACTGACACAAGATATTTCGGAGAGCTGAGAGAGGTATTGAAATTTACCTGTGGTCTCCTAGCAGTAAGATCCAAAGAAATTGCAATAGCTCTTGTCATCAGTATAGCGAATAAATTAAAGAACGAATACGAGAAAAAATGTTTTCCTGTTGCAATGGATTGCATTAAAGAAACCAAAATAGAAAGCAGTAATTTTCACATGGAACTGGCCCGTACCTTTGGCGCATATCTGGCACTTCAACAGGTTGAGATCAGAGATGGAGGTATAGATGACGCTGCTGCTGCTGTGATTGCTGCCGTGCTTGAAGCAAACACAACTCTGACGAATTTGGTTTTGTTTAGTAATAAACTTGGTCCTGCCGGTGCGGAGTCACTTGCTACAGCGCTAAAAACAAACACAACTTTGAGAAATTTGAATTTGTCTCTCAATAACGTTGGTCCTGCCGGTACGGAGTCACTTGCTACAGCGCTAAAAACAAACACAACTCTGACAAATTTGAATTTGTACGACAATAACGTTGGTCCTGCCGGTGCGGAGTCACTTGCTACAGCGCTAAAAACAAACACAACTCTGACAAATTTGGTTTTGATTAGTAATAAACTTGGTCCTGCCGGTGTGGAGTCACTTGCTACAGCGCTAAAAACAAACACAACTCTGACAAATTTGGATTTGTCTTTCAATAACGTTGGTCCTGCTGGTGCGGAGTCACTTGCTACAGCGCTAAAAAAAAACACAACTCTGACAAATTTGCATTTGTCTTTCAATAACGTTGGTCCTGCTGGTGCGGAATCACTTGCTACAGCGCTAAAAACAAACACAACTCTGACAAATTTGGTTTTGATTAGTAATAAACTTGGTCCTGCCGGTGCGGAGTCACTTGCTACAGCGCTAAAAACAAACACAACTCTGACAAATTTGAATTTGTACGGCAATAACGTTGGTCCTGCCGGTGCGGAGTCACTTGCTACAGTGCTAAAAACAAACACAACTCTGACAAATTTGAATTTGTACGGCAATAACGTTGGTCCTGCCGGTGCGGAGTCACTTGCTACAGTGCTAAAAACAAACACAACTCTGACCAATTTGGATTTGTCTTTCAATAACGTTGGTCCTGCCGGTGCGGAGTCACTTGCTACAGCGCTAAAAACAAACACAACTCTGACAAATTTCAATTTGTACGACAATAACGTTGGTCCTGCCGGTGCGGAGTCACTTGCTACAGCGCTAAAAACAAACACAACTCTGACAAATTTCCATTTGTACGACAATAACGTTGGTCCTGCCGGTGCGGAGTCACTTCCTACAGCGCTAAAAAACAAACAACTCTGACAAATCTGGATTTGTCTCACAATAACGTTGGTCCTGTCGGTGCGGAGTCACTTGCTACAGCGCTAAAAACAAACACAACTCTGACAAATTTGCATTTGTACGACAATAACGTTGGTCCTGCCGGTGAGGAGTCACTTCCTACAGCGCTAAAAAACAAACAACTCTGACAAATCTGGATTTGTCTCACAATAACGTTGGTCCTGCCGGTGCGGAGTCACTTGCTACAGCGCTAAAAGCAAACACAACTCTGAGAAATTTGCATTTGTACGGCAATAACGTTGCTCGTGCTGGTGCGGAGTCACTTGCTACAGCGCTAAAAACAAACACAACTCTGGCAAATTTGCATTTGTACGGCAATAACGTTGGTCCTGCTGGTGCGGAGTCACTTGCTACAGCCCTAAAAACAAACACAACTTTGAGAAATTTGAATTTGTCTCTCAATAACGTTGGTCCTGCCGGTACGGAGTCACTTGCTACAGCGCTAAAAACAAACACAACTCTGACAAATTTGAATTTGTACGACAATAACGTTGGTCCTGCCGGTGCGGAGTCACTTGCTACAGCGCTAAAAACAAACACAACTCTGGCAAATTTGGTTTTGATTAGTAATAAACTTGGTCCTGCCGGTGCGGAGTCACTTGCTACAGCGCTAAAAACAAACACAACTCTGACAAATTTGGATTTGTCTTTCAATAACGTTGGTCCTGCCGGTGCGGAGTCACTTGCTACAGCGCTAAAAACAAACACAACTCTGACCAATTTGCATTTGTCTTTCAATAACGTTGGTCCTGCTGGTGCGGAATCACTTGCTACAGCGCTAAAAACAAACACAACTCTGACAAATTTGGTTTTGATTAGTAATAAACTTGGTCCTGCCGGTGCGGAGTCACTTGCTACAGCGTTAAAAACAAACACAACTCTGACAAATTTGAATTTGTACGGCAATAACGTTGGTCCTGCCGGTGCGGAGTCACTTGCTACAGTGCTAAAAACAAACACAACTCTGACAAATTTGGATTTGTCTTTCAATAACGTTGGTCCTGCCGGTGCGGAGTCACTTGCTACAGCGCTAAAAACAAACACAACTCTGACAAATTTCAATTTGTACGACAATAACGTTGGTCCTGCCGGTGCGGAGTCACTTGCTACAGCGCTAAAAACAAACACAACTCTGACAAATTTCCATTTGTACGACAATAACGTTGGTCCTGCCGGTGCGGAGTCACTTCCTACAGCGCTAAAAAACAAACAACTCTGACAAATCTGGATTTGTCTCACAATAACGTTGGTCCTGTCGGTGCGGAGTCACTTGCTACAGCGCTAAAAACAAACACAACTCTGACAAATTTGCATTTGTACGACAATAACGTTGGTCCTGCCAGTGCGTAGTCACTTCCTACAGCACTAAAAAACAAACAACTCTGACAAATCTGGATTTGTCTCACAATAACGTTGGTCCTGCCGGTGCGGAGTCACTTGCTACAGCGCTAAAAGCAAACACAACTCTGAGAAATTTGCATTTGTACGGCAATAACGTTGGTCCTGCTGGTGCGGAGTCACTTGCTACAGCGCTAAAAACAAACACAACTCTGACAAATTTGGATTTGTCTTTCAATAACGTTGGTCCTGCCTTTGCGGAGTCACTTGCTACAGCGCTAAAAACAAACACAACTCTGACAAATTTGGATTTGTCTTTCAATAACGTTGGTCCTGCCTTTGCGGAGTCACTTGCTACAGCGCTAAAAACAAACACAACTCTGACAAATTTGGATTTGTCTTTCAATAACGTTGGTCCTGCCTGTGCGGAGTCACTTGCTACAGCGCTAAAAACAAACACAACTCTGACAAATTTGGATTTGTCTCTCAATAACGTTGGTCCTGCCGGTGCGGAGTCACTTGCTACAGCGCTAAAAACAAACACAACTCTGACAAATTTGGATTTGTCTCACAATAACGTTGGTCCTGCCTGTGCGGAGTCACTTGCTACAGCGCTAAAAACAAACACAACTCTGACAAATTTGAATTTGTACGACAATAACGTTGGTCCTGCCGGTGCGGAGTCACTTGCTACAGCGCTAAAAACAAACACAACTCTGGCAAATTTGGTTTTGATTAGTAATAAACTTGGTCCTGCCGGTGCGGAGTCACTTGCTACAGCGCTAAAAACAAACACAACTCTGACAAATTTGGATTTGTCTTTCAATAACGTTGGTCCTGCCGGTGCGGAGTCACTTGCTACAGCGCTAAAAACAAACACAACTCTGACCAATTTGCATTTGTCTTTCAATAACGTTGGTCCTGCTGGTGCGGAATCACTTGCTACAGCGCTAAAAACAAACACAACTCTGACAAATTTGGTTTTGATTAGTAATAAACTTGGTCCTGCCGGTGCGGAGTCACTTGCTACAGCGTTAAAAACAAACACAACTCTGACAAATTTGAATTTGTACGGCAATAACGTTGGTCCTGCCGGTGCGGAGTCACTTGCTACAGTGCTAAAAACAAACACAACTCTGACCAATTTGGATTTGTCTTTCAATAACGTTGGTCCTGCCGGTGCGGAGTCACTTGCTACAGCGCTAAAAACAAACACAACTCTGACAAATTTCAATTTGTACGACAATAACGTTGGTCCTGCCGGTGCGGAGTCACTTGCTACAGCGCTAAAAACAAACACAACTCTGACAAATTTCCATTTATACGACAATAACGTTGGTCCTGCCGGTGCGGAGTCACTTCCTACAGCGCTAAAAAACAAACAACTCTGACAAATCTGGATTTGTCTCACAATAACGTTGGTCCTGTCGGTGCGGAGTCACTTGCTACAGCGCTAAAAACAAACACAACTCTGACAAATTTGCATTTGTACGACAATAACGTTGGTCCTGCCAGTGCGGAGTCACTTCCTACAGCGCTAAAAAACAAACAACTCTGACAAATCTGGATTTGTCTCACAATAACGTTGGTCCTGCCGGTGCGGAGTCACTTGCTACAGCGCTAAAAGCAAACACAACTCTGAGAAATTTGCATTTGTACGGCAATAACGTTGGTCCTGCTGGTGCGGAGTCACTTGCTACAGCGCTAAAAACAAACACAACTCTGACAAATTTGGATTTGTCTTTCAATAACGTTGGTCCTGCCTTTGCGGAGTCACTTGCTACAGCGCTAAAAACAAACACAACTCTGACAAATTTGGATTTGTCTTTCAATAACGTTGGTCCTGCCTTTGCGGAGTCACTTGCTACAGCGCTAAAAACAAACACAACTCTGACAAATTTGGATTTGTCTTTGAATAACGTTGGTCCTGCCTGTGCGGAGTCACTTGCTACAGCGCTAAAAACAAACACAACTCTGACAAATTTGGATTTGTCTTTCAATAACGTTGGTCCTGTCGGTGCGGAGTCACTTGCTACAGCGCTAAAAACAAACACAACTCTGACAAATTTGCATTTGTCTTTCAATAACGTTGGTCCTGCTGGTGCGGAATCACTTGCTACAGCGCTAAAAACAAACACAACTCTGACAAATTTGGTTTTGATTAGTAATAAACTTGGTCCTGCCGGTGCGGAGTCACTTGCTACAGCGCTAAAAACAAACACAACTCTGACAAATTTGAATTTGTACGGCAATAACGTTGGTCCTGCCGGTGCGGAGTCACTTGCTACAGCGCTAAAAACAAACACAACTCTAACAAATTTGAATTTGTACGGCAATAACGTTGGTCCTGCCGGTGCGGAGTCACTTGCTACAGCGCTAAAAACAAACACAACTCTGACAAATTTGGATTTGTCTCTCAATAACGTTGGTCCTGCCAGTGCGGAGTCACTTGCTACAGCGCTAAAAACAAACACAACTCTGACAAATTTCAATTTGTACGACAATAACGTTGGTCCTGCCGGTGCGGAGTCACTTCCTACAGCGCTAAAAACAAACACAACTCTGACAAATTTCCATTTGTACGACAATAACGTTGGTCCTGCCGGTGCGGAGTCACTTCCTACAGCGCTAAAAAACAAACAACTCTGACAAATCTGGATTTGTCTCACAATAACGTTGGTCCTGCCGGTGCGGAGTCACTTGCTACAGCGCTAAAAACAAACACAACTCTGACAAATTTGCATTTGTACGACAATAACGTTGGTCCTGCCAGTGCGGAGTCACTTCCTACAGCGCTAAAAAACAAACAACTCTGACAAATCTGGATTTGTCTCACAATAACGTTGGTCCTGCCGGTGCGGAGTCACTTGCTACAGCGCTAAAAGCAAACACAACTCTGAGAAATTTGCATTTGTACGGCAATAACGTTGGTCCTGCTGGTGCGGAGTCACTTGCTACAGCGCTAAAAACAAACACAACTCTGACAAATTTGGATTTGTCTTTCAATAACGTTGGTCCTGCCTGTGCGGAGTCACTTGCTACAGCGCTAAAAACAAACACAACTCTGACAAATTTGGATTTGTCTTTCAATAACGTTGGTCCTGCCGGTGCGGAGTCACTTGCTACAGCGCTAAAAACAAACACAACTCTGACAAATTTGCATTTGTCTTTCAATAACGTTGGTCCTGCTGGTGCGGAATCACTTGCTACAGCGCTAAAAACAAACACAACTCTGACAAATTTGGTTTTGATTAGGAATAAACTTGGTCCTGCCGGTGCGGAGTCACTTGCTACAGCGCTAAAAACAAACACAACTCTGACAAATTTGAATTTGTACGGCAATAACGTTGGTCCTGCCGGTGCGGAGTCACTTGCTACAGCGCTAAAAACAAACACAACTCTGACAAATTTGAATTTGTACGGCAATAACGTTGGTTCTGCCGGTGCGGAGTCACTTGCTACAGTGCTAAAAACAAACACAACTCTGACAAATTTGAATTTGTCCTTCAATAACGTTGGTCCTGCCGGTGCGGAGTCACTTGCTACAGCGCTAAAAACAAACACAACTCTGACAAATTTCAATTTGTACGACAATAACGTTGGTCCTGCCGGTGCGGAGTCACTTGCTACTGCGCTAAAAACAAACACAACTCTGACAAATTTCCATTTGTACGACAATAACGTTGGTCCTGCCGGTGCGGAGTCAGTTCCTACAGCGCTAAAAAACAAACAACTCTGACAAATCTGGATTTGTCTCACAATAACATTGGTCCTGTCGGTGCGGAGCCACTTGTTACATCGCTAAAAACAAACACAACTCTGACAAATTTGCATTTGTACGACAATAACGTTGGTCCTGCCGGTGTGGAGTCACTTCCTACAGCGCTAAAAAACAAACAACTCTGACAAATCTGGATTTGTCTCACAATAACGTTGGTCCTGCCGGTGCGGAGTCACTTGCTACAGCGCTAAAAGCAAACACAACTCTGACAAATTTGCATTTGTACGGCAATAACGTTGGTCCTGCTGGTGCGGAGTCACTTGCTACAGCGCTAAAAACAAACACAAGTCTGGCAAATTTGCATTTGTACGGCAATAACGTTGGTCCTGCCTTTGCGGAGTCACTTGCTACAGCGCTAAAAACAAACACAACTCTGACAAATTTGAATTTGTCTCTCAATAACGTTGGTCCTGCCGGTACGGAGTCACTTGCTACAGCGCTAAAAACAAATACAACTCTGAAAAATTTGCATTTGTACGGCAATAACGTTGGTCCTGCCGGTGCGGAGTCTCTTGCTACTGCGCTAAAAACAAACACAACTCTGACAAATTTGAATTTGTACGGCAATAACGTTGGTCCTGCCGGTGCGGAGTCACTTGCTACAGTGCTAAAAACAAACACAACTCTGACAAATTTGGATTTGTCTTTCAATAACGTTGGTCCTGCCGGTGCGGAGTCACTTGCTACAGCGCTAAAAACAAACACAACTCTGACAAATTTCAATTTGTACGACAATAACGTTGGTCCTGCCGGTGCGGAGTCACTTGCTACTGCGCTAAAAACAAACACAACTCTGACAAATTTCCATTTGTACGACAATAACGTTGGTCCTGCCGGTGCGGAGTCACTTCCTACAGCGCTAAAAAACAAACAACTCTGACAAATCTGGATTTGTCTCACAATAACATTGGTCCTGTCGGTGCGGAGCCACTTGCTACATCGCTAAAAACAAACACAACTCTGACAAATTTGCATTTGTACGACAATAACGTTGGTCCTGCCGGTGCGGAGTCACTTCCTACAGCGCTAAAAAAGAAACAACTCTGACAAATCTGGATTTGTCTCACAATAACGTTGGTCCTGCCGGTGCGGAGTCACTTGCTACAGCGCTAAAAGCAAACACAACTCTGACAAATTTGCATTTGTACGGCAATAACGTTGGTCCTGCTGGTGCGGAGTCACTTGCTACAGCGCTAAAAACAAACACAACTCTGGCAAATTTGCATTTGTACGGCAATAACGTTGGTCCTGCCGGTGCGGAGTCACTTGCTACAGCGCTAAAAACAAACACAACTCTGAGAAATTTGAATTTGTCTCTCAATAACGTTGGTCCTGCCGGTACGGAGTCATTTGCTACAGCGCTAAAAACAAACACAACTCTGAAAAATTTGCATTTGTACGGCAATAACGTTGGTCCTGCCGGTGCGGAGTCTCTTGCTACTGCGCTAAAAACAAACACAATTCTGACAAATTTGCATTTGTACGGCAATAACGTTGGTCCTGCTGGTGCGGAGTCACTTGCTACAGCGCTAAAAACAAACACAACTCTGAGAATTTTAAATTTGCGTTTTAATAACCTTAATTCTGATAGCGCTGAATTTCTTGCTAAAGCGCTTGAAGCAAACACAACTCTGAAAATGTGATTGTGGTAGCAATTAATTTAACAATGACATCAGTGTATCTGTTCAAAAAACACAATTTATAATGCACACCGTAACCGTATACCACATTAAAATTTTAAAATTTCGTTCAGTTTTCTCTTTCTCTGTATTTCATTGCCGTTTTAGGAAATTAGAAAAATTTAAAAAATAGTAGTTACTCACAGTCTCATTTTCTTTCTTTTTTTTTTTTGCGCTATTTGTAAAACTGACCACGTTCTTTCGACGTAAATGGATTTTTTCAGTTTAAGAAAATCACGCACCGCTCAGTCTAGTTTCGTAGTTAGAGCCTGGCAAGAAAGTAGTTCATGCAATGATATATAGAAACAATTCAGTTATTGAACAAAGGAATTAGCCTGAATTTTAGCCGTTTCCTCCGCCCGCTCACTCGAGACGCCTGAAGATTCAGGCTAACAAAGGAATGTAATCAAAATATATGTACGTAGACGGCTGTCGTTAAAATTCCTTTGTTATTCATTTTTCAAGCCGAGCAATTTTTGGGAAAAGTGCCAAATGAAATATTTCTGCTTTAACAGCTCTCTTGCCGTTTGTGATACATTTATTCATTAATCATGTAATGTGTAACAGTAAACACTGAGTCTTGTAATTTTGTACTTGTTGAATTCCAGTTTTTAGAACTTATGTGGATTACCGTAAATAGACTATGTTATGTGGAGAATCTGCATGCGGATGATCGGATATTAATCATCAGTCAGACTTTCAGCTATATTTCAGCCATCTCTTAATTTTTGTACCTTAGAATTCGGCTGTATAAAGATTAATAACAAATCGTTTCATCAATTTCTCCGCTGACGGTTAAAATGTTGGCTAATTTTCAGCTCTCAGTCAAATCCCATCCAGATCCTCTATGTAACTAGTAACTAAATACATTGTATAGAAGACTGAAACAAGCTTTGCTGACACTTGAACTTTTAAAATGTCCATTTTTTCACTTTAAGGTTTGTTGGCATGCCGTGCGAATTGTACATTCTGAGACTTGTGACACTTGTGACAAGTTCGTGTCAAGTTCCCGTCGTAACAAGCATATATTAGTCATTGCAGCTGATCGAAACTTTTGGGTAAATAAAAGAATTGTGAAGTATTAGTAAGAAAAACGTGTGCTTGTTTCGTTATTAACCCCACCTTATTTTTTCATATATATCGTGCATAAAAAAGAAGTATTTAGAAAAAAGTACCGGAGTTGTGCCTGTCACGAATGTTCAAAAACTAAACAAACAAACAAACAACAACAACGCTCTCCGGCCCGGGCCCAAGCCCGTACGCAGCGAAATGAAAATATCACTGGTGAAGACGCTGCCTAAATGTTGCATATTCATCCATTTTGGATTAATCCTCAGTTTGTTTGGGTAAGTGGTTGTTGCTACAACGGTAATTGTGATAACGTGATGGGTGGACTTAGTTGAGTGCACTTAATATGATTTGCTAATGTAACTGTCCGATTACAGGCAACTGTCTGACTACAACCAC